AGCCCTTCAGGTGAATAAAAGGGGCGTAGTGGGTTTGAAGGTTACGGTCTTGTCTCCATTCACAAGTACGTAGATTTTTTTTTTTTTTAGATGCGAAGCAGCTTACGGTTGAGCTCAATCCGGTGTGCTGCATGACCACCCTCACTGCGCATCCTCTCCCCCTCTCTCGCTTCGCAACGATGACGCATGGGGTGTCTGCTAACCTACACTCACTCCCCCCCTCTCTCTCTCTAGGCATTCCTCACAATCCCGTCGCGTACGTCGTCAAACACTTTCCGCCAGACAGTGGTCCATACCCGCTGGCGGGTATGTGCCACTGGTATGCGGGTATGCTCAGCAGGTGATATGTACCCAGGAACGACGACATGTGACATTGGTAATATAAATGCGAGAGCGTTCAGAAAAACTGACATCGGCTGCGTTGACCCGACAGACATGAGGGTCCCAGCAGGAATCGAGCCCATTCTGCGTGCGAATCAAGCATTCTATACCACAGAGCCACGTCACGTTTCGGTATATGCTTTGAAAAAAATAAACATTATTGAGGTGCAGGTTTGGTAAAAAGTCGATTCTGGTTGCAATAGTGGCTATCCAACTTTATAAATATCACATAGGTACTCCTATGATACAGGTCTTGTCGGGTTATCGTCCTGCAGTTGTAGTTTAGTGCCATCCACTGAAGTTAATTTCTGTAGCAGTGTCCACCCTCGAGAGCACAAGCATTACATGTCATATTACGACTTCTGGTGTTGCTAACACTCATGTTGTTGTTGGTTTCGTTGCCCAAGTGCAAATAACTGGCTATATATATAAAACATGTGCGACTGTTCAACGTATGTCTCTGCGTACAACGTATTTTAAATCTATCTAGTGTCATTTCGGAACGTGTCGCTCAGTAACAAAATTATAACACCTCTAGTTCCCTCCACATGCTTCACATGACGTCGATTCCCAAGGTACGTGGGATCTGCCGAATATATATATATATATATATATATATATATATATATATATATATATATATATATATATATATATATATATATATATATATATATATATATATTTCTGAATTGCGGAAGGCTCTTAAACACTTCTTGATGTATTTTCGTTCGCGCAGATATACACAGAGCCCTCAACGCTTCCTGGCTACGCCGATTGGGTCGCACGAAGACGACAGTACATCATCAGGTCCGTGCGTTCTTACAGCGCAGTTGTATTTCGAATTTCTCAAACTAACAACCCTGTTTTCCGTTACGCACATCCCGGTTCAAGCTTCGCCGAAAAGAACTCCTTCCGGCCATGCAGATTTGACGAAGAGGCGAATGAACTTTCGTGCGTAATCGCAACTTATTGTCTGACTTGTGGAAAAGAAAGAGACGAGCGCGTAGATTAAGGCAAAAAGGCAAGGCGGGCCACGCTCCTCGTTTCTGTTCGCGTGTGATACGGTGGCTGTAGAATTCGAAGGAGAAGCGTGGCGCTTTGGAAGTCAGAGTGCCGAATCCGTCGACACTTCGTTGACCTTCTGGCACTCGAAGGCGACCACGCCGCACAGGGTAATCACGAGGCACGACAGCAGCGTCACCGCCACGATCAGTGCCTGTCGGGTGTCGTTCAGTCAAGGAAATGCGGTGCCCAGCATTTTCGGATTGCTTTATATGCACGTGCACGAGCCCAGCCGCTGCTGTACACAATTGATAGATTTGTGCGGTTTAACGTCCCAAAACCACCATATCATTATGATAGACGCCGTAGTGGAGGGCTCCAGAAATTTCGACCAGCTGGGGTTCTTTAACGTGCACCCAAATCTGAGTACATGGGCCTACGACATTTCCACCTCCATCGGAAATGCAGCCGCCGCAGCCGGGATTTGAACCCGCGACCTGCGGGTCAGCAGCCGAGTACCTTAGCCACTAGACCACCGCAGCGGGGCGCTGCTGTACAGAATGCCACAGTGGTTAGACACAAAGGTTAAGAGCGTTAGACATATATAGAGGAACGTGACGCCCCAAGAAGGGAGGCGGAAATGTTGTAGGCCCGTGTGCTCAGATTTGGCTGCACATTAAAAAACCCCAGGTGGTCGAAATTTCTGGAGCCCTCCACTACGGCGTCTCTCATAATCATATGCTGGTTTTGGGACGTTAAACACCACATATCAACCGATCAAGAAATTTATTGCGCCACGCCCACTCACGTGAGTGAGTCACCGTTTACACACAGGGAAATAAAATATAGGTGTACGTGCAAAACTGTACGCTGCCACATGTGTACGATGACGCTTTAAACCATCGGTGATAATGAGTGAATCAATAAATAAAACTGGCTCACTGCTGGTATGCTACGAAATGCCGGTGGTTCAATGTAAGACCTAATGATTAATAATTATATGCAATAAATACATTCATTTACGCACTATATTTAAAAAAACGCGATCTTCAGAAAGGCCGCTATCAGGAGCAAGAACCAGATAACAAAAGGAACATAATGTCATCCGATTGAATTAAAAAAAGTAACGAATTAGAAACACTTCGCATTGCCAAGGTCAAACATGAATGACACTAAAAAGAAGCATACGTACGTATACATTGTGTGAACATGCATGAAAAGTATTGCTATATGACGAGAATTCTGAAGGAATGTGACATTAAAAAAATAAACCTTTGACATTGCGAAAAAGTGACCGGAACTCATCCGGTATTATCTATGGGTCTTGCTGTAGCTTACTGTACCAGTTTTATTATTAAACGTCTAGCCCTGTTAAGACAAAAGAACGCGTTTTTATGCGGGCGAGTAACCACCTTCAACCTCATGAACAACATCAACGAGCACCGCAGATCACCCGGGACGACCATTACCGAAAGTACGTCTCTCAACGACCTCGAAAGGTGACATTGATGATGCGAGCGATATGGGCCCCGCTCTTAATTATAGGCCTCTCTCCTCGGAGCCAGAACCCCGCCGTTCGTTTCTCCATTAGCCCGCAGGGGGGCGCAACCCGACGGCGCCGCAGCGCCAGCTGCTTCGTTGCGTTCATTTTCCGGAACCATATGTCAAATCTGGACCCGCGGCCTACGTAACGAACCACGCGAAATCACAGGCTCTTTAAGCCCTCCTCGCACGAAACTTTTCTCTTGGTAGCCTCTTTTGTTTTGTTTTATATTTTATACTCTGTCTGCATGGTTTGCGAGTCGTTATTTTTTCATGTGCATATTTGGCACCGATGCTAAAGAGACGGAAAGCACGTTGTGTTGCCCGAACTCCCGTCCTTTCATGTCCACTAGGAACCCAATTGTGCACGGAAAGCTTAGAAAAAGAAAAGGAAGAGTGAGGCATGGTTAACAGCGAGAATGAAGAAAGCGAGAAACTTTGATAGTTCAGACCAATGAGAACAAACACGGTCGACAACTGAACGATTGCGTTGAGACTGAATGAAGATCATATAGCGGCTTACAAAGCCGATATCCGATATAAGGCAAAAATTGGTCAACAGTAGGCAACAGTGTGTGAACACTATAGCCAGTGCTGCTTTTGCGCGAACAAACACGGTAATCGAATTCCCTTTGGACATCGCCACACCCTGTTACAGAGTCGGAAGAATGAAGTCCAGGTAGTGTCTTGCAATACATTTAAAAACGTTGAACGGCAACTAAGAAGTGGAGTATATACCATCCCTATAGCGAAGCGTGGGAAAAATGCGTTTGAAGAACTTTGTCGACATCCGTTGTCAAATCATTCAGTCCAAATAAACAGGGAAAGAAGTAAGAACTATAGAGAGAGTTAGAAATGAGCATAAGAACCACATACCTCCCGCTTAATCATCAGAAAGCCTGTGGAACGCGCGCTCGACAATTTAAAAACAAACTACAAAACAATGCAAAATTAAACTTCAGAGGACGTCGACCACACTAAGGCATAGCTTGCTTTTAGCGAATAGCGGAGCATGTGCTGCAGAAAGAGAGAACGACTTGCCAAAATCGGGTTTGGAAACAGACAGGACGATCAGAACACAACAGAGGGACGACGTCACCATCGGCGGCAGCGCGGGCACAAAAAGAGGATGGCTGTGGTGGTGCGAGAACTCTGGAGAAGGATTTTGGGGTGGGGATCGTTGGCTGCGGCTCGCGGTAAAGGTGACTGCGAAGTAAAAACGAACATAACGCAAACGATACCCGAAGGAACGAAGAGCGAGCGGGCAGGTAAAGGCCGGAACAATGGGATCGAAAAGGAGATAACGAAAAGGAAAAAAAAAAGAAGATATCAACAAAGTGGACTGACCCGCACTCTCCCTCTCTGCGCTGTAGTTGGAGCCGTCCGCATGACTCACGTAATCGTTTTCAATTACGGCGCTACGCCCATTGGGGACCGTTGGAGAAGGACTAAATTATGCATTCCTGCAATCGCGGCGCGAGTGCGTGTGCGCTCGACTGCTGTCCAGAGCGGAGCAGCTATCTACGCGGAACAATACAGCCCGAGGTGTACGGAGGAGAGAAACCGCACGGCTTGCTCAGGGCAGGCAGACGACCGCTAAGCGGTGACAGCTGCAGGGCTAGTTGATTCTGGTTAATACTGTGAAACGTTGTACTGACCTTCTGTATATCTCCGTATACTATACGTCTATGAGTTCGTTCGGCAGTACAATGCTTCGCGGACAGGCTACTGCCGGACACCTTAGAAGGGGAATGGAAGGGACAGCAGGCGTCTTGGACATCCAACCCACAAAGCTCCGATAACCAGTTGGCGCATAATATTTCTAGAAAAACGCGCCTTACAACGAAATCGCCTTCTCCATAACATCGCTTTGCAAGAAATTCCGCGGTATGCATTTTGTATCGTATTATTCGGCGTTGAGCAGAGAAGTGTGAAGTCTGCGCAAGAAAGCTCGGTAAAGCGATTAGGTGAAACTTATTTTATTAGTGTCAGTATGGACAGCGGAATAGTGCCGTAGGCTCTGTTCCGCAATGTGACGGCAATGTCACGGGGTTCTAACTGCACTGTGACAAGCTTCGCCGGTTTCTGGCACGCTTCTGCGATCACGGGCCGCTGATACTTTGGAGTACATTTAAAACGCAGTACTGGTGTCACACGAGCAATTTCGATCGCGATCAGGGCCGATCTAGATTAGGGTTGACCCGGATGAGGCGTTTCTACAAGGTCACCGTTAATTGCGATCATGCCTGATTGGGATCAAGACCGTCGCAACTAACGCATCACGATCTGGTTCCCACCCACATCACTGTTTCATTGACGTCCAAGCCAAACTCAATCTGGATTAGTTTGGAGCGTATAGAAGCGATGATTGCTGACCGTGATCGGGAAATTCGATCCGTATCAGGTCTAATCACGATAAAACTCCCCGTGGTGCACAGGTATTACTGCCTACCTTAAAGAAAATGCCGCTTATAACTACCTTTATTTTCTCTGCCGATGATTATAATGCATAGAGAAAGCTTACGACGTGCCGCTAGGCTTCATCCGCATTTTTTTCGTATCGGCAATTGGCGTGCGTATTTTGTCAGCGAACCACATATGCTACTCAAGCAGGCTGTTTAAACACCTGGCCACGCGCAAAGTAGAATTGACTCATGGAACCCCTATGTACAATACTAAACTGTGCTTGTCGTTCGGAGGACTCCAGCCATGCCGCGTAAGGCTGACAGCCAAAGTAACCAAAAGGATACAGGTAGCACTGCATTCTTCAACTGCGCGTCGCTGACGTACGAGCTGTACCACGACGGGTTGCCTCCATCAGCTACGGCGTTGCCAGACGAGGCGTCGTCTTCAGCAGACGAACCAGCTGTCCCGCCAGCCCCTCCTGCAGACTTCCCTCGGAACGTGAGCTTTGCTCCGCGCTCAAGCTGCAATGTAAAATATAAGGATTCGCCTGCCGGTACTTTGTTTATCCGGGGAGTGCAAGGAACGCTTACTGTGGATGAAGTGCGGAAAATTATTTGAACAATGGGAAGTAATTAGCGCAGAACAGTTACACGTTATACATAACGTACGGTCGAGCGTCATACTGGTTTTTTCCAAAGTACATCTCCCAGAAAACTTGCCAGTCAGCACAAACTTTTCTTTCTTCTGCTTAGGCAAAAGTTTCTCGGCTGACATATGTAATTGGAGCTTGACAGGGCATGAATGCTACATCGCGGACATGAGCTGGCCTCATAGATGATTTTCAAATGGATTGCGGAGGATAGATGAAGATAGAGATACATCATGATGTACCTCTCTCTATAAGCCTGAATAACTGTGCGAAGCATTTCACACAAGCATTCTAGGTAGTCATCTTATTATGGTATAGTCAACCTGAAGAATGGCAAATTAAGAAATGTCGCAATAACTATGGTCAACAAATGCTCCGGTTCACACTACCAGATTTGTTAAATAGAGTCAGTAAATAGCACCTTTTTAACATTCCGGAAACCTCAAATAAAGAACCACGGAAACTTTTCACTACAATATCTTTATCATGAACATGCCTCATAGACAACGCCGTCTATTTCTTTCCGTTTTTCGCTGTTTTTCATGGGAAATATTTTATTTTTTATTATGTTTCTTTTGTATGTTTCTTTATTATGTCTATGAAAGCACGTTACTTTTTTTTTGCGTGGAGGACATTCATGTACAATTCATTATGTGTGCATTTCATTTTTTCTGTTTTTTGTTCGTGACCATCTTTCACGCTGTAAAACGTGTATGGTGGCCAGAATACCCTCAAGCAGATTGTATCAGCTTATTTTTCCCCCGGTCTCCCACAACATTTTTGTTGTAGATAAAAAAATCGATAAATAAATTTAAGACAGTACATGCTGGCTTCAGTGCACGTTTTAATAAACTTTCGTTTCGTATACTAAAACAGGTTTCGTGGGACAAGTGTATCAGACTCTGATGAAGGTGCGCGAATGCTCAAATTTATGCGTGCATATGAAGCAGCTGGCTCAAGCGTACGAACTCTTCATTACCTCTCCTCGGCGGCGCTTTTTGGGGATGTTGGCGATGTAGCCTTTCTTTCGGTGCCGGTGGCGGTGGGCCGCTGAGGAGGAGTTGCCGGTGGTTGCCGTGGTGACGCCGACGTAGACGGTGCACATGTGGTACACCATCAAGTCCGGGTTGAAGCTCTGGTATTCCAGTGGGTCGCTCTCCCATCCCGGGTCGCACAGGCACCATTTGTTCCCGGGATCTGGACGCCCCTTGTGGCAGTTCACTTTCTGCGTGTTTTTTGTTTTACAGGCCAATATTCGGCAAAAGCGCGGGAACTTGCGTACGACATATTTTTTTTTGTACACGTGACTAAGTGTGTTCGTAGTACGAAATACTTAACTATACGTTGCACTGTACTTATCGAAATAGTCTTTGTTTCAGGAAGTTGTGATTCTTGAAGCAAATGCAGCGCCGCATTTCTATGGAGACGAAATGGTAGAGACCAGTGGACTTTTATTCAGCCACCCGTTAAAGAACACCAGGTGGTGAAAACTTCCGGAGCCCTCTACGACACGGCGTCCTTCATAATCACATCAATGTTTCAGGACGCAAAACCTCAACAATTACATTAAAACCTCTTGTATAGTGGCGGAAAACGGTACTCCGCTCTGACCTACAGGACGAAAGCTGTGCTATCCAACAGGTTAAGCAAGCTACTCGAGGACAATGTCTTCCTTCCTCCATCTAAGCGCTCTGGTCCTTACCGGCAACGAGCCATTTCGCAGTACAGTTTCATTCATTCATTACTATATTATTCAACGAAGTGTCTACTACACGAACTTTAGCCATTAACAAGGTCTTTCTGCGACATACATTTACTGTGAGAAATAGATAAGCACTTTCAACAGTTCAAAATAAATAAATAAATATTTAAATACTAACTAAAAAAAAGCTATTGAAGCAATAGATAGTTCTGCAGCGCTCTGTTGACCACACTGTCATACCGGAAGCTTTTCTTATCGTTAAAATTTAAGTTTTTCACGTAAATAAATATTTATATGCACACACACCCCTGCCTACAAGTCCGACTCTTTTAGTTTGCAAATAAGCGCATTGTAATGCAGGGTCAAGACATCGACACCGTCAGCACTGGCATGCCTTTGAAAATACTTGACATATGAAACCGAGCACGCCGCCTCCCTTGTTCGTATGTGTATATATCTGTTCGGATAGCGATTCCAACATTTCCGCTTCTTTTTCCGCGGTTCACCTTATACAGTCATGTCTTGTTTCAATCGTGAAAACGCTATTCCGACACACATGCCGCTCGCGGTGACCACCGATAAGGTGTCAACTGCTCGAGATACATATTGTTACGTAAAATGTGTAAATTACGTAAATGTGTTACGTAATTGCAATGTAGTTATCAGTAGTCGTTTTCTATTCCAGTCGCTTTTTTTGTTATACATTTTCCTCGAGATAAACGATCGCTTACTGCTGATATGCGTGCGTCTACTCCTTTCCATCTTCGTTTTACTCCTCTTGTTCAGTGACTTAATTTGTGTCCTACTTCTTAACTTTTCTCATATCTGGAGTCGTATACTGTGCGTGTATTGAAGAGATACTCGTTAGCATAGTGAGCACGTGTGCCTTACAATGGGGTATCCGTGCATGGATCGAAGCGGCGACTCCTTGTCCTGGAAGCTGTCGAAGTAGTCCAACTCTTCTTCCGTTAACACCTCGCCCACGCGTCGGCAGGTGTTGCTTCCAGCCAGGTACACCTGCGGCCGCAGTATTTCAATGTACGAACTCGCACCCACAGCATCGACAAGGGCGTGGTTGTGGCGATTGGTTGAAAGGGGAAAGGCTTAACCAACGCCTTTCACTCCAAAAAAAATTTCAGTTTTTCATTAGTATTCATACAAACGCACGCACGAACATGTATAACATCCGTGTGAACTTTCTCTTCCCTCTCTTCACGATTGTTGCGAGCTAACGTTGCCACGACATCTTGAACTCAGACCGTAACTACCTATATTGTATTCCGTTTCCAAAGCGCTCCCAATCTGAACCTTTGAAATACGACTTTATTATTTACATACATGCTAAATACATATTTTATAACGCAACAAAGTTGCACTTCTGCTCCTGAATACGTTTTCGTGCACTAAGCTGCTGCGTTATTGTTATTACCAATAGCAAATATTTATTGATTGGTATCAATTTCTAGGAAGTACTAAAGAAAAGTTCAATAGCCCCCATAAGTATCACTGCTAATCTTAGCGGGGAAAATTTCTATAAATTACTTGATCTAGTGGAAGCTTATATTAGGCTCTTTTTATTCAACGGTCAGAGACACTACCCTTTCGTTGTTCAAAATTGCAATCTATTTTTAACCGGGTCGGGTACGTAACCACGTTGAATGTGTGCGCAAAAGAATATTTTCGAGGCAATGTACACTGTCCTCACCATCTCTTCTTCCGCGTTGTCCCAGCAGTTGGCCGTGGGCTCGCAACGCTGGCTCGTCTCGTTGAAGAAGTTCCGCACGCCGTTGTACTTGATGTCGCACAGCACGGGCTGGCACGAACGCGTCGGGTCCATGTCGGGGCTGTGGCACGTCTTCAGCTCAGCCGGAGTGAAGAAGTGCCCAATAGCATGGTAATTAGGAATATTAATGCGAGAGCTGAATGAGCGCGTTTCGCAGCAAGTCAGGTGTCGGCGACGTTGGTTGTAGGAGAAATATTGGCGTTGACCAGGAGCGAAAATAAACACAGATGCAAATACATCAATAATAAAAATGCTTGGTTTGGGTTAGAATCAAAAGCAGGCGTACTAATTGGCAAGCAAGTGCTCTACCACGCCTGCGCTTGAAACTGCTTCGTTGAAAAACAAAAAAAAAAGTGTACAGTCGCGCTGGTGTACGCTGCACCTAACGGATACGTAATGGGCACGTCCCCGATTTGCAAAAGGAAGAATTATGGTGTAGTGGTCTAGTGGGAACTCCGCAACTGCACATTCATCGAGTAGGTATTTTAAGATAGTCTCTAACAGTTAATATTACGCGCAGAAATACTCTTTTCCTCGCGGAGCGGTTGAAGGCTGTGTGCATGAAACCCTATTACGTTATCGCGTTTTACTCTTGAAGGTTAAGATCAAGCGTCCTCCAAGCTTTAAGAGAGAAGCTCTAGAAGCTCGAGGTAGAACATCGGCTGTTCATAAAAAAAATCACAGCCAATTCACGAAGTGAATAATGAGGAGTGAGCGAAGCTCCGGGGGATCATTAACCTCCGTAAATTGCCCACTCGATCATGCGAAGACGTGACAACACATGTGTACAGTAAATACAAAGTTGTTTATTATTCACAATGTGCATATGGTGTTGAGATGTCCATATGAATGTTCATATCGACATCCATATGGATATGTATATTCATATGAATATCTATACAAATCCTCCTCTAGAAAGATGCCTGCGACATCACACGCTTTCCCATGGGAACGGGAAGTTCCTCGTGGCGCAGTGTTTTCTCCTCGAGGAGCGCTCGCAGCCGGCCCTATAGTACTTCCGCGAGATTCGGAAGTGGCGCCATCACTGAGGCATGGCTGTGTTGCCTCCGAGACGGCAGTACATATTGCTTTAATTTCAGAGGTGGTAATATTTAAAGCGACCGCCGCAGCGAACGCTCGCAGCCGACACTGTTTTTGGGAGCGGAGAAGGAGAGAACAGGAGAGGGCTGGGAACCAGCTCTTCAGCTCAAGTCGCAGGCATTTTTCTAGAGGAGGCATTGGTCTATATAAATACCCATATCCTTATGAATATCCATATGAATAGTCATATGGACATACATATGGATATCCATATCCAAACGGATATGTCCATAGCGTGTCACGCCGATGGACAGGGAACACGACTTGACCCTAAGAAGCTTCGCGCTTAAACCCCCTCTGCGCTGTTGCTTCTTGGCCGCGCCCAGCGACGAAGGCAGCCCACGCAGTCACCGCACGAACTAAGTACGAGCGAGGACAGGCTAGAGCATCCACCGGGTGTGCCACAGCAAGCTTTGCACGTTAAGTTCTGGCGCTAGAGTTTGGACAATTTTGCATGGTCCTGTGACAAGCCGTGGCTCGACTCTACTTCTTTTTAAGGGTGAAGCTCCTAAGGCCGTGGGTCGTGCGTCCCCGATGTATGTATGTAGTAGTAGTCGTCGTCGTAGTAGTAGTAGTAGGTGGCCACCCCTCGTTTAGTCCTTGGAATGTCCGCTGGATGGCGGTACTTGTATATCATGAATATATGATGAAAAGATGCGAGATGGCGGTACTTGGAGTGCTCACTAGATGGATGGACGGACGGATGCACGGCGGGCGGACGAACAGACAAGCATACAGCCGGACGGACGGCCGTGCAGAGGGACAGACAGACAAGCATACGTACGCACAGAAACACGGACGGACGAACGTACAGGCAGACAAGAAGATGGACGGGTGGTCGCGTGGACGGATGCACGAATGGACGCACGAACGAATGCACGGAAGGGCGAAAGCAAGAACGAAGCGAAGGACGGAAGCCCGTATGGACTGGCGGACGCTTCGCCTCACTCATCAGCAAAGCACCCGGTGTATATACTGTGATTTTTAGGGGCGAAGCTTTTTATAGCAGCACCCGTTCGTTCCCTGTAGTATGTAACAAGTATAACATTTTGACCTCCAAGGTGGTGCCAGTGAGACTTCTTCTGTGCGTTGTTGAACAATAAAAAATAGTGCTCAATGTACATGTCAATGGCTGCTAATGGGGAAAGAGAGACAGGAGCATTCGGCTTTTAGTTAACGCGCAGGCTGCGATCACCAATAGGAGCCATTGGCATGTACATTGAGCACTATCTGACAAGAAAGGGTTGCTACGTTATACTCGCTGGGTGTAACCTCCTTAGCTTTAGAAAGATTTAGCGATCGTTGAGCCGCAGTGCCATGAATACAATGAACTTGTATATACCATGAATGAACTCGAGGTGGTAAAAAATGGGAAGTAGATACGAAGCGCAAGCTGTAAGAAAGTAAAAGCCAAATTCTCCGCCTCTCATTTCCCATTAGCAGCGATTGGCATGTACATTGAGCACTATCTGACTGAAAAAGTTTGCTACGTCATATTCGCTGGGCGTAACCTCTTAGGTTTTCGAAAGGTTTAGCGAGCATTCGGCCGCAGTGCCATGAATACAGTGAACTAGTATATACCATGAACTCGAGGTGGTTAAAGGTGGGAAGTGGACCCGAAGCGCAAGCCGTAAGAAAGTGTGCGTGTGCGACCTTTCGTTTAATGCTTGGAATGCCCGCTTGATGGTAGTGCTTCTATATGGAGAATATATGATGAAAAAATGCGAGATGGTGGTACTTGGAGTGTTGAATTGATGGACGAACGGACACACAGACAGATGCATGGATGGACGCATGAACGGACGCAGGGGCGGCTGCATGGACGAACGCAGGGACGGACGCACGAACAGACGCACGCACGGACGGGCTGATGGACGCATGGACGGTCACACTGACGGACGTATGGACGGACGGAAGCAAGAACGAATGGACGGACGAATTCTTCGCCCCACTCTCCATCAATCACTCCGTGGATATGCTGCCATTTTTTTTTTTTTCATTATACCGCAAGGTGCTGTGGTATACCGTTAACGCTGTAGCGTTAGAAAGCTCGTTTCGCAGAAGTTCTGGTGTCGGCGTCGATGTCGTCGGTTGTAAGCAAAAAAATCGTCATCTACAAAAAAAATGGAGAAATGTGCAAATAAACTAAAACAATGAAAATTGTCGGGTTCGAGCAAGAATCGAACACAAGCCGTTTGCGTGGCAAGCAGATGCTAAGCACATAGCCAGCAGATTTGTAGAAACTGCTTTGAGAAAAATATACTACATGATTGTCGTGTGTAATCATCTTCGGCAGCGGAACCACCAGCAAAGCGAACAACTGCGTGTGTTCGTGTGTTGCCGTATGGCCTCGAAGCGGGCCTTTTAACTGTTCTCACAGTAGGAATTCAACGATAGCTTGAAATGGCCACATTTACGCGCACAATCGTTCTTTTATTTATGGCACGCTTGAGGCCTGCCCCGAACAGAACTGAAGCAGGTTAGCCCTTCACAAGGCGAAGTGCGCGATGCCGGATTATACTCTATCGCGGCTACATACTCTATAAGGCGAAGCTCAAGTGTCCTCCAAGTGCCCTCAAGTGTCCTCAAGCTCAAGTGTCCTGCCGCACATCATCGATGATTCTTTTTTCCCCCATGCAATAACCCTGTGGAATACCCTCCCCGACAGTATTGTTTCGTCCACCGACCGCACGACTTTTCGCGAAAAAATAACGATGCACCTGGCCTAAATTAAAATGAATTCCTAGTTGAACAATGTTAGTAACTAACTTTTAGTGACTCATGCACTATGATGCTGATTACTTGTGTATATTGCTGTTTTATTTCCAGTCTACGGTAGTTGTTTTTTTCTTCTTGCCTGTTTCCTTTCTTACAGATGTTTTTTTTTTCTCCCTTTCTTCGTATTTTCTTCCTTTTTCGGCGTTCGTGTGTAATATAATGCCTTATGTAATGCCTCCGGGCCCTTAAGGCTTCAATAAATAAAAAAAATTGTTGCTGTTTTTTTGTTTTTTTTTTGCGTTCACTTACCACGAAGAAAAGAAGGCACACTGTGTCCTCCCCTGGGCACGGTCGTGTTGAAGGTCACCGTGTGAAGCAGCTTCTCGCCATCCGGTGCTGCGATCTCCAACTCGCAGTAACCCACCCGGTCCACGAGGTACTGGAACGAAACGGGTTGCGTGCGACTCGTCTCTCGAAATGACGGTTACTGACGAACAAACGGCTAGAGGCGTCCCGTTCAGTGTGGGTGCCTTGAAAGATTGTTCCGTGCAACTTAAGGATGACCGAACTTTTTACTTCGTGACCAGCGACCGCGTTTTCATATAGACAGCGTAATAGTGGTACAGCGCGAACCAGCCTTGTTTTGCCGGGTACACTTCGTACGTACGAGAAGCTTTGCGAGGGATGCATCGTCTATTTAAAACACGCTTTATTATATCATTGCACCTTCTCGCAGTTTGGTGTGTATGTACACTCACAAGCAGAAGTTTCAAGACCATGGCGCCAGCCAAAAAAAAAAAAAGAATAATAATCATTCTAGCACAACTGAGCTGCTTGCGTCTGTGCTGTCATTACTTCTTCCTAGCGTCCGCGTTCACCCACCATGTATTTTAGAACGAACGATTCAGTACAACGCTTCAGGCCGCTCAGTTATAAAAGTTGAAAGAGAGAGTGGTACAAGTAGGTCCACAAACTATTGCGCGTGACTGTGACCACCAGTATTGGGGTGAGCATGGACGCCCAGTCCGTTAAAATGATCACTGCTTCCGCACATGCCGAGCAATCGTTGACGCAAACAGCGGTTTCCGATGATTAGGAAGATAAAGAGAAACGAAGGCATCTGCAGAGGCACTTGAGCGTCACGAAAAGAGAGATAAGTGAGAGGGGCATGATTAGAGCCGCGGTAAGCAGCTGTCAAAATGAGTGTCAGAGTTCAATTACACAAGGTACGTAATTGCCGGCTACCGGCGCCCGCCCAGGTAGTTTTCCCTCAGCCACTGCGCACGAGCAGCCATCCCCGCGATCATCTGGAGGCTGCCCGGTGGTCTTGGCACCAATAGCGGCGTAAACGTATAGACACGCTGCGGAGCCCGTTTAATTTCAGGGGCACCCTTGCTCGGTGCTGTGTCCACTCCATTGAAGTGGTGCAACCGCAGTTCCTCCGAACAGCTAGCGGTCGCGAAAATCAAAACGGGCTGCACGCAGGCAGTCTCTGCTTATATGCAATTGGCATTGAAATTTGGTCCAGTGTGGGCCGTATTTGAAACATATTTACAGAGCAGAAAGACGAACACTCAGGGAAAGGCACACAGGCACAGCGCTAAGCTCATCTTGGTAAATCTGTTTAAAATAAGAACCAACGCCCTATATAAAGCAGCAGTCTTGGTCCTATTTGACACTGTAGATGTATGGGGTGTAGCCAGAATTTTTATCGATGGGGAGAGGGCTAACCCTCCGCTTCTGAATTTGCCGCTGGCAAATATTCTACGTGGTTAAATTTCAATAGCAACACTTGGATCGAATCAGTGTGATCTACCATGCACACTGAGGTCCCAGAAAAATGTGGTTACTAACAAACCATCATTTATCTACTGTTTTTTTTTCTTTCTCCTCTGTACAAGTTGTGGTCTTTTTTTTTTCATGCAGAAACACTTTTTGTGGCCACCAAATTTTCACACACAGGGTGTGCTCATTCACGAAGGATTCAGTCTTATGCTGATGTCACACGGACTCATTTGATCGTGATCAGGGTCGGTCCGGAGCTGCAGGCTTGAACCGGATGAACTGCTGGTACATGGTCACATTGAATCGCGATAAGGCCCGATCGCAATCAAGATGATCTCGCTGTGCGCATCGCTATACTGCTTCATGGCTGATTGAACCGATGTCTGCGCCAAACTGGATCTGAATCAGGTTCCCTGAAGGTGTACCTTGAAGTGGCGACAAGCTTCTTATTATGATCAAGAAGTCCTATCCAGATCAGCCTTGATCGTGATCTAAAGTGCCTGTGTGATTTCACAAATAGACCCACATTTCAAACCAACTGACTGAAACCTGCCTTCCCTGCTTGACATCTATATGAACACCCAAACAACCGCACGGCCACACGGCCGCATATACCGTGGCATTAATGTCAGATCGGCAGCCTCGCAAACGGTATATCCTAATGATGTCTAGGTTTGCTAGAACTTCGATGCAGTGCCCCCCGAAGCTACAGAAACGACTTGTAACGTTAAGCACACAAGGCCCAACGAAAGTGCGTATTATGTCATCCGCAAGTGCTTGCTTCAATGTTTCCCTATATAAATATTAGTCAACACCACAAGTAACACATCGCGGTTTGAGGCAGCGAAAAGCCACTGAATGCATAAACACCATGTGTTTAACAACTCATACATACATCAGGTTCAACACGTAGTAGTTGTGTATCTAGGGGAGAACAGCTGCACACCGCAGATCACTTCCGGCCGCGGCTACTTCATGCTCAGCAAAGGACCTGACGTAATTTATTGCGCCATGTTTAACAGAGCCTCGCGTCGGCCCGCCCGCCCAACTCCACTGATTACTGGTCTACGATTCCGGTGGTCGACACTCGTCAACTCCAGGACGCACCCTCGAGAACATTGTATAAAACAGCGTCTAGTGGGTGCTGCCCCCGTAATTGAAGAATGAAATGCCGGCCGAGCTGCAGTAGTAATAGCGCACTGTGTAATTTCAGTGGGGAACACTTTGTCCAGTTATCGCCTCCCTCGCACCGACTATACTTACGACGAAGTGAAGAACGCAGGAGCTGCGCCCCAGTATATAGCGTACGCATACGCAGTGTATAGGAGGCACGTACAACTACTTTCTGTTTGTTCAAAGACACTCACAGCTAGGTTCTTGTCCTTGATTTGCCATTTCCGGCTTCGAGCTCGTTAGCCGCCTCTAAGCGAAATTAGGCCTCTGCCCCGAAGGCTTGCTTCTCGGTAATTCGTTCCGCTTGTAACTGCAGGGATCCGGGCCCGACGCGTATGCGCAATTAGCGGGAAATCGGCCTCAATCAGGAGCCCTTGCAAGTTAGCAAGGCGGATTAAGCTTGCGGACGTGCTGAGTTGGTTAGATCAAAAGACACTAAACAACGTACAACTGTTTCGTGGAAGCAAATACGGCCTAGTTGGAACAAATTTATCTTAGCGGTTCTTGCGCCAGCACACGGAGACAAAGAAGACGAACACACGGACTGGCGCTGCTTTATTATAACAGGCATTTTTGCACCGTTATGAGGCTCGCCCAATATAGGCCATTCTCAATTTTTTGCGCAGCCATCTGAGTTTGCGTCTGGTTCTGGGCACGGCCTACACAAATGTGGAATATTTAAAAAAATCTCTTTTGAATGCCTCTGCCCCAGGGGAGTAGCAAAAATTTTTTTTTTTGAAAGTGGGGAATTCATCTTATTTGGTTATAAAAGGGAAAAGAAGAGAAGAGTGAGCCCCGTAACTGTCTGCATCTGGTGCGACACCTCAACAGTAGCTCACAAGGGAAGGGGGTAAGGAGGTAATAAAAGAAGATAATTAAAAGGTATATATATATATATATATATATATATATATATATATATATATATATATATATATATAGAGAGAGAGAGAGAGAGAGAGGGGGGGGGGGGCGCAGGGACAGCGAGCGACGGAGAAGTAAAGAGAAGATAGGAAAGATGAACAGATCGCAGGAGTCCGAGGACAGGGAACCACTGGCGAGAGCTCTTGTCGGCAACAGGAGGTGGCGTATGACCAACTGAGTCGGCCAGAGCTGCACTGTCGTTGGAGATCGCGAGAGCGCAACCGGTCGGCACTGCAGCGAGCAAGTCCCAATCAACGAACCTTCATGTGTATGTTCTTGCGAGTGTTCGTATGTGTGAGCATACACCTACAATGTTGCAGATTTCCGGAAATTAAAGTTTGAACCTTCTAACCCACTCGATCTTCCTCTCTTTGTGCGCCAATGCTCTGCGCGTCACCGTATGCAGCTTGCCTGCATGTAACGTGGTTACGATCTTGCGTGCACATTTAGGATGATGTGCAGTAGGCAAGTTGTTACTCAAGTGGCAGAAAATAAAGTCACAAACAACTTGGAATTTATGAAAGGCGTATGCATACACGAGTCACTGGCCAGAGTCATTGGAAATACTACACAGCTCCACTACATTTATAGCTGTTTGGTGGACGGTCCTGCGAGAAATGTAAAGCCCGGATATCATTTATGTCGTGTTGGGCGTTGTCAAGATGTGCCATGATGAAACAAGCGCTAAAAATACACAGGACACAGACAAGCGCTTTCTGAGTCCTCTCTGAGTGTGTGTATTTTTAGCGCTTGTTTCATCATGAACCTTTACCAACAAGCCCATGCTGGCAGTCATCCTAAGATGTGCCATATTTCACACAAAAAAGGAGTCTTGTGGCGTTGTCCCGGCCCTCTCTCTTTTTCATAGGTCGGCTTCAAAAGTTGCCATGCAAGCTACCTGTTATTGTTCATCGAAAGGTTTACATCGATTCGGAACTACGCAATTACATCCCGTAACGCCAGTAGGACAGCGACAGCGCTGGTGCCGCAGTGTGGCAAAGTTGTTTCAAACAAAATTTCTAGTGTCTACGAAGAACGAATTTGCTATGAGCAACCGCGTTCGACGTATAAGCGTGCCGGCGTAGGGGTTCCAGGAAGCGGTGTCTCTGCTATACGGAGATCCGTGCACCATACGACATCACGAGTTTTGGTCTCTTCCGCTGCGACCACATTTTTATGGGCGACAAGTGCCAAAATGCTCGCATGCAATTTTTAAATTGCGAGTTATAAATGATCCCGGGTGATCGAAATTATTCAAGAGCCCCCAAGGGCGGGGCCTCTGGCCTTTTTGACATTAATCAAACCATAAAGTGGTATTTTTCGTTTTAATTCTTCGGTAGCAATCTAACCTTTGCGCCATATGTTTTTATATATATATTCGGCCCAGAAGAAGTATTCAGACATGAGAATGTCTTCAGTACTGGCGCAGTTGAAAACGTTCTAATTGCACCGTATTACTACCGTCTTCGAATGTGCTTCGGGCTTATTTTCTTGTCGCCGTCAGACTCCACACAGACCCAGGACTTCCCAGGTAATTTTCTCATTGATCCATTGGCTCTCCATATAAAGCGTGACAAGGGCAAAGCAGAAACTTTTCAAACGACCTTTTCAACACGCTTTAGAGCTTCCGCATTTCATGTCTATATATGACATCGCCCAAACACAGTGCTTCTTTTTTTTTTTCTTTAGGCATGCGTAACGCCTCTACCAAAAATAATGTCTATAAGCGCAACCACACAACTTCAAGCACAGTACTCACAACAAGGAAGTAACAGCGCCGAATGCGACAAGAAGGTGTCAAAACCAAATTGGTACTGTGACTACAATAACTGCTGTACATTAAACGGTGTCAGTTAAAAAAAAACATGAAAAAATCGTCCTTTGGTGACCCACCAAATTTGGGTAGTAGGCCGTGAGGTTCTGGCTGTCACCCGGGTAAATGTCTCCCATGTCACCTCCGATCAGCAACATAGACTGTAGCAATAAGAGACGAGCCGGAAAACAATCACACCAGTAATACAGGCATCGCATGTGAGCAGTTTGGTGTTGCGCGCGCATTATCAATGACAAACATTGTACGTCGAGCATTGCACACTTCTACAAGCACTCATATGTCCATTCATTATAAGCAAAACTATAATTGGGCTGTCTCGATTCCAGCAGCACAATACATAGTATCGTCATAATAGTGGTATACCTTCGAACCAATGCGTCATCTCTACATTAATTCAGAGCAATTGTAAATCAGAGGGGGGAAAATCCACGCATCTCCACGAAGTGAATCATGACAAGTGCGAAGCTCTGGGTATCGTACGGGTGAGAAACCGTACTTTGCCTGAGCGTTGCTTCATATAATGCAGATTGAATGGCATCCTAATATGACAAAATGTCGCTGAAACTGCTGGTTGCGGGATTTGGCTCATTATTGAGTTAGCTTTATCAGCGCAAAAATATGAAGCACTTAAAAAAGAACACTAACACACAGTGCTGGACTCACAAATGATTCGCAACGAATCCGAACGCAAGGCCTTTTTCATGACACACGGAACACAGTGAAGAGAAGCATTGAAAAACGTCGTGAAACTACTTGCCGGAAGAGGCAATCAACCAGAAGTAACAGCGCCGTGACGTGGAAAATTCCTAATTCACAAGGTGCGTCCCCGATATACAAAAGAACAGAAAAGGATAGTTGATCCTAAAACCAGCCGGCAACCACGTTGAAGTCAGAAAAGCCAAAGCAGCAACATAAAAAAGGACAAAAATATCTAAACTGCTAAAAATATAGAGCACGGGGTAAAACAACTATTTTTATTAATATAATTTTAGTTTACCGAACAAGCAAGGACATTCGTGTAACGCAGGGGGCCGGCCACTTTTTGTGGTGAAGTCCTGTTGCACAAAAATGGCATGGTGGGGACGCGTACGCCAAATGAGGGGGAAGAGGGCAGAAATGGCTTTGCGGGCAGAGAACAAAAACTGGGCGAACTGACAATATTTGTTTTCTATAATCAATAGACTCTGCGGATAATCAGTAATCGCTATAATCGACAATAACCGCATGGACATTATCTGGTTAAGTGTGAAGATGGGTGAGCATGCCAAATGAAAACGACATTTCTTTGTTCCTGTCTATAACCATATATTAGAGGTCGAAACTGCCATGTCGGCCTTCGAATAGAATAGGGTATGAAGGGGCCAGTTCATGGTCGGTTCGATAAAACTGAAGGGGACAGATTTACCCCAAATGCCTATGGTAAGTTCTATAAAATGGAAGGGGAAAGATTTACCCCAAATACTTATGGTCGGTTCTACAAAATAGAAGGAGAAAGCTTTAATCCAAATACTTCGATGCGCAAACAAGTTAGCGAATACTTTTTCAGAGATTAATGAAGGCATAAAGAAAACAGTTCTTGCATTTTTGCAGTGTTTTTGTTTGTAATTTTTCTTTCGCACTCAGTATACTATAACTATACAATAAGCGATAAGTTTACAATATACTCAGTATACAATAAGCAATGCATCATACTATTATGTTCCAGAGCCATGTTTACTGATTTTATAAGTGTTGTAACTACCCCCGTTTTTTTACGTACAACAACCCGTTTTAACATTTTCTTTCCCTAAATATATTACATTTCTATTTCTTTAAATATTTTGTAAGTGCTATTAAACATGTTCTCCTTTTTAATTCCATTGAAATTGTGTACTCGGATAAATGCTGAACATGTATATGTATGCCGGTTTTCATTGTAACTTCTGCCATGCGAGTGCCTTCAGGCACATTCCAGATGTATTATGACTTTTCGCCTGAAGAACCCCCAATAATGATGTTAGAAAATAAAAACATTCTGTTCTCTCTCCCTGTTATGGCGTTGTGTCGGCGCTGCATAATACTGCCCTGCGGGCCGTGGACCCCAGTGTAAAGTGCTTGAAGATGAACAGCACTACTGAAAAATTTTCCCCCGTATATACCACTCAAAAATTTCACGAAAATGTTCTATGTTTTCATTTTTTTTTCAGTGTAACATCGATTCATGTATAGATATCTCGGTAATAAACTCTTACAAAAGTAACGGTATTTCCCACGTTAAAAGTATCTTCAGATCACCACTTCTAAATTCTCTAAATTTTGTGACAAAAAAAATTTCAAATTTGAGAAAATCATCACTATGTCCACACTGACCCACAGTTTACACACGGTGATGCTCCAACTAAATATCATCTGTATACGTCAATCGGAAGCAAATAAGTAGTTCTCACATGTGAAGTTTCATGATTACGTTTCTTTTTTAAGGAAGAAAAACATCTTTGAAGTTCCCCGTTGACCTATAGTTACGTAATTTGGTATTGAAACAAGAAACGATTCTTTCAGAATAAATGTTTTTACAAAGAACACCAAGAAAACATATGTGACATTTGGAAGGTTGCCGCATGACCACACATAGTTTTCTCTACAAAATATTCTTCCAATTCACTGTTTTCGATGCACTACATCAGCCCGATTTTTTTCTTCGGATACATTTGGAATGGTCACAAAAGTGGCTGGGACGCCGGGCACGGATCGTCTGATTTACGGCATAATAGTGATGCCACAACGTTTATTAAGCGTATGCGATGAACAAAAATAAAATCGTGAATACCGTTACAAGACTCACAAAGCACACACGGCTGTTAACCCGCTCAAGACTGTGGTATACCTCCGTATTTTCCTATAAGTTCTTACAGGCTGACACCATCACTGTGAATCGCAGGAATCAACAGCGGTTAGAGGTTAATCTGAAGAAGACAAGCAGATTGAATGAGTTGGTGAGGTTCCGTGATGAAAATATAAAACAGTGCTTCAATACAGGAGAAAAGAGACACACTCGGCGCTGACACACACAGCCCCGCCTGTGTCTCGCATTTCCTGCGCCCTGTGTTGAAGCGCTGTTTTATATTTGTATTGAATTATGTAGGTTAGGCTAGGTTAGTAAAAATATAGACAAGTCTCGTTTACCGACGTGCACTATATTTATACAGACCTTACAGTAAGGCACTCGAATGTGTTTCGAATAGCTGTTTGACTTACGTCACAGTCGACGTCACCCGGAGCAACTTGCTGGCAACACGAGCGGCTCACGAGAGATAGGGAGAGGGGGTCGTGGCCTAGGTTGCTCACCGTCACGTCTGCGCAAGGAACGGTTAAGCCACTTTGAAATAGTACGGAAACTGTAAAGCAAAAGCTATATAACCAAAACTTGCGGTGTATTCTTTGCGTAGGCAGTGTTCACGAGGCATCATGGAAGCTATGCTTCATTCTTATCTTAACCCTCAAGCGTATATGTGCGCTGCTGCCATCGCAGAGAAAAGTCACACCGCTAATCAGATATTAAGAATAATTTAGTTATGAAGCTTTACGTTCCAAACAACGATGTGATGCGTGCCGTGTGTAGCAGGTTATTCAGAATTGGTTTCTGACCGTCTGTTCTTCAGAACACCCCAAAAGCAAAGCATGCATGGGTGCGTGTTCTTCCGTTTCGCAGGTTCATAAACACTCAGACATCATTAGCTCATCAAACCTAATGCACGAATGAAAACCGTACTCTTCGGATAACTAGAAATTGTACTCAAAATCGTGATACCAGTTTTGTCAACAAATGCCACGTTCATTTATTCACTTGGCCTTTTTTCATTAAATTAATTATATAATAATTATTGAAGGCTATGCGTACCACTCTGATATACTATCAGTGCAAATAAATATGTCCCTTTCTTTTTCCAATTTTCTCCCTTTCTCAAAATGAAGAACCAACGGCGAGTAGTATAGAGAACGACGGCACAAATAACATATTGCGCATATAAAACTTGCAGATGTCGCACTCTTTCTCTCTCCCTCTCTCTTGTCCTTTTTCACGCTATAGCTTATAAGCCAAGCGTGAAACGCCATGCACAGTATCAAGAGCCTGTGCACGCGAGCTCAGATTGACTGCACAAATTCAGGCGGCCCGTAAAGTCGCCACGCTGCAAGAGTTGAGATATAGTGTCTTTGGTTAAACGTGCTTTGACAAAAGTATTACAGAAGGAGTAACCAGGCTACCTTGCGTTGATTCACGATTAGACACACCGAGTTTTCCAGCAACAAGAAAGAAAAAACAAGGAGAAAAAAAAAAAGCCCACTGCTTGAGAATTTACTGAAGGATCTGAAGGTCGGGCACATTGAGAAATCGGTTGGCGATTAGACCGCCTTGAGTAGTTGGTGGTGCTCAGTGCGCTTGTGCATATCCAGAAAGAAAAAAGAGGGGGAACGGAAAATAAAAGGTGACAGGTATCTATCTATCTATCTATCTATCTATCTATCTATCTATCTATCTATCTATCTATCTATCTATCTATCTATCTATCTATCTATCTATCTATCTATCTATCTATCTATCTATCTGCTTGTCTGTCTGTCTGTCTGTCTGTCTGTCAGTCTGTCTGTCTGTCTGTCTGTCTGTGTTTCCGTCAGTCTATCTATCTATCTATCTATCTATCTATCTATCTATCTATCTATCTATCTATCTATCTATCTATCTATCTATCTATCTATCTATCTATCTATCTATCTATCTATCTATCTATCTATTTTGTTAAATTAAGTTACACTCATATGAGAGAAACAAGGTGCAGTGCATTCACATAATCTTTGTCCATAGTCATGCTGTCACGCTGAAGGTGATTAAATGATTTATGTTATAGAATCTTACAAGTATTGAAATCTGAAACTTGGCAATTTCTTTCTACCTTAGCATTACATATCAAGTATTTCTGACAGCTACCTGGCACGCTATCTGGCACGCTTTCGTTAGAGTTCTCCCCTTTAGTGGTAATTACAGTTGATGATGATGACGACGTTCATGAAGGTGATGGTGGTAGTGCCGGTGGTAGGAGCAACGTCCTTGAGACGGAGTTGAAGCAAAGGCCCTAGATTTCCTTCTTTTAATATTAGTTGTATTCTTATCTCCACTTCTTTACTTCACGTTAGATTAGTCAAAAGGAAGTTTCGCATTACCCCGTGTCATTCTTTTTTTCTTTGCGCTGTGAATACGCTTCCATACCAAGCTTACGCCGACGAGCGAGTTTCTCTTACTGAGCTTTGAAGCGGTCGAGTGCTGCCATCTACCTCAAAGCAATTGCAGCACAGGAAATACAATATCTGGCCGAATTAGGCGGGATATTTAAATGTGATGCAAGACAAAACCCGAAAGAGCGACGTAATTGTTAATCTGCAGGGTCACACCTCGGATGTTCTTAAGTCCTATCGTTTGTTTGACTACGTTACTACAAGTTTAAGTTTTCTTTGAGCGTTATATCTCTTTTATTCGGATGCTATTGATATTTTCTTGCGGGCTTCCACGGAATCATGTCTAACTGGTCAACGTAAGTTTAAATAAATAAATAAATAAATAAATAAATAAATAAATAAATAAATAAATAAATAAATAAATAAATAAATAAATAAATAAATAAATAAATATTGCTTCGATAGTGCTGCTTGCTTTTCTGCATGTTCAGTTAATATTTTTTCTTGTATTTTTCGCTTCAGTTGAAATAAACACCCTTCTAAGCTGTCTTTGAAGAGGTTACAGCAGAAAAAAAAAGAGCACGAAAATCATGACAACAAAACTTGCACTTTGAAAGGCTGCGTAAAATCACTGCATGCAACCTAACAGAGACAGTGCGGAATTTGTAACATGCAGTGACACGTGTTCACAACGCGTTCAAGCTGTTGAGCAGTCCTTTGCGGCTGAAATATATACTCACAGAATACAAGAGCAGTGTCTCCTTTGTGCAGGTCCATGATACCGTGTCCCTATAAGCGCAGTAGAGGGTGTGACAATGGTTGACCATTATATTATCCACTGCAAGCCCTTCTCAATCACTCATCACGTATTTCGAGTAAATTTTGAGCAAAACTTAGAAACAGTTGACATTGCAAGCTAGTGGGTTTTTTAGCTGTACAGAACCATATCAAGCCAGAAATAGCATTTAAAAGCGTCATTTGAGTTTAGAATTGAGGTGTGGAAATTGGGAGATAAAAAACAATTACCGCCGAAGCACTCCGTACAAACGGCTAATCAACGAAAGCTGAAGCGTGCAGCCCTGGTGTTTAGAAGTGGGTTCCCAAAACGACGTGGCACTGAAGCATTTCACAATTACTGGTTACATGTTTGTGCTTCTTACTGAGATTAGACACACATTTCGCTTAATGAGATCAGACACACCATCACTCGCAACGCAGCCAATGACGCGCGTGCTTGGCAATGACGTAACTGATAACAAAACCATTGGAGAGCGCTTATGACACCGCTGCCGGACGGTTTTTTCGTTTCTCCATAGCCATATCAGCTTTCGCTGTAAGAATTGACATGAGGACGAAAACTTGCCTCCTTTCCTAACCCACGGTTTTCACCTATAAAGGGGCGGTGTCATCAAATTCGTGGCTTTCGTGTTATTCGTTGCAAACGATCTTCCTTGCTCCAAAAAGCACGATACACATTCTAAGATGAGTATATTCTCGCTAAATGGTTTCAATATCGCCTTATTTATGTGAACGACATTCGGTATCGATATCTGGGCGTCGAGTTATACACTGAAGTCACTGAGACGGAAGCTTGAACACGTGGATCCATAGAGCTGTGACGCTCTCAATGCTCCACTGTCTGCTCTCGCAAGGACGCGAGCAACATGTCTGAAGGCCTTCAACACTCGCTGAAAGTCTCTAATATAGAAGAATAAGGTTTACGGTAGTCTTGGTACACGCATGAGATGTTTCGAGACTATATACCGAGTTACCGGATGATGGTACCGACATCTTTGACTCTTCGTGCAACCACAATAAGAGGCGAGCTTCTATGTTTTCGCTTATAGTGACCATGGCGAAAACATGTTTTAAAATGCAACGCATTCATAACTATGCCGCCACCGAGAATTCACACCAGCTCTTCGAACAGTGCATCAGGTTTCTGCCGCAGCAATCCTGCGCTTGCCTGGTTAATCTTGGGGCCACAAGTTTGCGCAACATATCCAGTTTCTAACGTTTACGGCTGCGGAAAGCCGATGCTAAAACAAGAAGTTTGGCGGGATCACGTGAAGATGCAAAGTACCTAGCAAAATGCGAGCGAATTTGGCAACTGAAAACACAAGCTCAGAAAAGAAATAACTGTGCCCCGCCGCGGTGGTCTAGTGGCTAAGGTACTCGGCTGCTGACCCGCAGGGCGCGGGTTCGAATCCCGGCTGCGGCGGCTGCATTTCCGATGGAGGCGGAAATGTTGTAGGCCCGTGTGCTCAGATTTGGGTGCACGTTAAAGAACCGCAGGTGGTCTAAATTTCCGGAGTCCTCCACTACGGCGTCTCTCATAATCATATAGTGGTTTTGGGACGTTAAACCCCACATATCAATCAATCAATCAATCAATCAATCAAAAGAAATAACTGTATTTCACAGCTGATATTCTCTTGACTTGCCTGATGCAGTGTATACCTGTGAATCCCCGCTCATTGCAAGTTACTCTAATGTGGCTTGAAGTCACTAAAACATTCATTAGGCTTCTTACACAGTGACGTCGGCGGCAGCCGCGCTATAGCGATTGACCCAGATCGTGAGCATTTATGCACGTCATGGAAGCACATGCAAATATATTTGAAACGTTTGCTGTGGCCAACACTTCCGAGCGAAGATAGCGTATACAGCAAACTTTTTACAGCCTCTCAATTTGGTATGGTATACGGTATGAAGAACTTTATTCAGGTCCTGAGGATCGATCATTCCAGGACTCATGCTGGCTTCTCCCACGTCGGGACAAAGAGGCCAAGCCCCTCTGCCGCCGCCTCTGGACAGCCCTGAGTTGGTTTGCCAGCGCGTCACTGTGCAGCATTCGCTGCCACCACTGTTCACCGTGGGATGGATGGATTGATTGATATGGCTGTACCCTTTAGATCGGGCGGTGGCTAACGCCACCAAGCCGTACTACTTAGTAAGACAAAAACTAGATTTATTTATTTTTTACTTTACATAGTGAGGTTGAAAACTCGTACTTTGCAGTGAAGGGTTAATTTCCACTCGTGCCTTGACTCTAGCCACCAATGATCAGATAACCTCCTTGTTATTTATACCCGCTTAAAGTCTATTTTGCCCTCCCTGTCCCAAAAACCCAGTGCTTTGGAAAACTCTGCGCCATCATCTTGAACTATAGGGTGAAGCCCTTTGCAGAACATTATCAAGTGTTCGGCAGTTTCCTCTTCCTCTCCACACGCACTGCATACCGTGTCTACCCTTTCGTATTTGGCCCGAAATGTCTTGGTTCGCAATACTCCCGATCTGGCCTTAAACAATAGAGAACTACCCCGAGTATAATCATAGATTTTTTCCATGGCAATTTCCTGCTTAAAAGTTCGATAGATCTCAAGTGCGGACTTCTTAATCATGCCAAATCTCCACAAATCGGTCTCAGCTTCCTTCAACTTCTTCTTAACCGATAATTCTTTTTGGTGTTGCCCCCTGCTGTTTTCTAAATATCTACCAGTCAATTTTTTGGTTCGCTTCCCCCATTTTGTATCGACATTCTTCATGTACAAGTAGCTGAATACCTTCTTAGCCCAACGCTCCTCTCCCATTTCTCTCAATCGCTTCTCAAATTTTACCTTGCTGCTATATAGCTTCCCTGCCTTCAAATGATGTACATCCCATATCACCTTGTACTCCCTGATTTGGTGTATTCCCGTGAGCTCCTAAGGCCAGCCTACCTATTCCACGTTGCTTAATTTCTAATCTTGCTTGAACTTCTGATCTCATGCCCAAGGCCGCATTGCCGAACGTCAAACCAGGAACCATGACCCCTTTCCATATTCCTCTCACAACATCATGCTTATTGTAATTCCACAGCCTGTGCCCTGTTTTTCATCACCGATGCATTCCTGTTACCTTTAGTCGTCACGTATATTTCGTGTTCCCTTTGGTACTCTGCCCCATTGCTTATCCATACGACCAGATATTTGTATTCATCTGTTATCTCTAGCGGGACCTCCTGTATTCTAAGCTCACTACCTTCATTATCATTAAAAATCATGACTGCTGATTTTTCCTTACTGAATCTGAAATCTAACATATCTCCCTCATTACCACAGATAGATGTCCACCAATCTCTGCAAATCTTCCTTGTTGTCGGCCATTAGCACTATATCATCTGCGTACATCAATGCTGGTAGTGCCTGTTCAATGAGTTTTCCTTGTTTGACGAAAGAGAGGTTGAAGCCAAGTCCACTCTCCTCTAATTTAGCCTCTAATCCTTGTAGGTACATCATGAATAACAAGGGTGACAGAGGACACCCCTGCCGAAGCCCCCGTTTTACCTCTGCAGGCTTGGATACCTGTTTTTCCCTCTTTGTAACTGCCTTGTTACCTTTATAGATATCCTTTAAAAGATTAGTGACTCCATCTTCCACACCTAGTGTGTCCAGTATTCCCCACAAGTCCTCTTGAACCACGCTGTCGTACGCTCCCTTGATATCCAAAAGTGCTAGACACAGAGGCCTGTGTTCCTTTTCTGCTAGGTCGATGCACTGCGTCAGTGAGAACAGATTGTCTTCCAACCTCCTGTGTTTCGGAAATCCATTCTGCAGTTCCCCCAGTACCCCCTCATCCTCTATCCATGCCTGCAGTCTTTCCTTTAAAATCTGCATCGCCAGCCTGTAGACCACTGATGTTACTGTTATAGGACGGTAGTTGTTTATGTCAGCTTTGTCTCGCTTTCCTTTATAGATCATGCTCATCCTGCTAAGTTTCCATCCATCAGGGACTTCACCATCGATTATTATTTTGCTCACTGCCTCTCTCAAAGCGTGCTTAGACTTCGAACCTAATGTCTTTGTCAGCATAATTGGAACGTCATCTGGGTCTGTTGATGTACTACTAGGAACCCTTTTCTCAGCCCTTTCCCACTCTCGTTGTGAAAATGGAGCCATTGCGTAACTTGATTCATCCTTGTGTATTGTGGTGCATAAAGCACTTCTATGTTGAAATTTTTCTGTCACCATTGTTCCTATATATTCAATAGCTTCGTCCCCTCTAGCCTAGCACGTCGAGCTGTAGTTATAAACATGTGCGCTAGGCTCTTCTCATTTCTTAGGAAGTTTAGATGGTTCCAAAAATTTGCAGCTGCCTTTCTATCTTTTTTATGTACTTCTGCCAGCCACTGAGCTCCCTTTCTTCTAATCTTTTCATTGATCAGAAGGGATGCATCCCTTCTACAGCTTAGAAATATTTCCCATATTCTTTCAACATCATCGGTCGGTTCACCCCGCCGCTTAGCATGTCTGTGTTCCCTAGAGGCTTCCTGATGGTTTACTATGGCTCTCTTAACTTCCTCATCCCACCGACTCTTGGGTTTGTGTCTTCTTTTCCGGGGTGACTTCTTACGTGCCTTAGCAAGCTCTAGCTCAAACAGTCTAATTAGATTTGTGTATGTCCACACTGTTTTATTATCCTCAGTGATTATTTTCTCGATTTGTTTAGTAGCTATTTCTATTTGCCTTTCTGAATAAAAAATTTTCCTGTAGTTGCTCATCTTGTCTCTTTCCCACTTTCCCTGCTCTTCCAAAAACCTACTAGCTTGATGCGTTTGCGATTACTACCTAGACTTCTGGAGCCACCTTCATCTATGTGCATTCTCTTGAGGTTATCATACATCCTATGTGACATCAGTGCGTAACCTATCGTCGACATCAGTGCGTAATCTATCTCGTGGATGGATGGATGGATATGGCTGTACCCTTTTGTCACAGAATGAGCGCTCAAAATGGGCGCGCCGCCAA